AAAAAAAAAAAAAAAAAAAAAAAAAAAAAAAAAAAAGGAAACTAGTTGAACAGTAGATTACAATTACATGAAATGAAAATTTGAAAAACCGATTAGCAACGCGGCAAGAAATTTAAAATCAATTGTCGGCGTATGAAGAACATACCTATCCCTAGCTTCAAATTCCAAGTTATTCTCTCCTACAGACGCCTTAATCTCTAAATCATTATTATCAGAACCCCCGCCGTTAACCCTCTCAAAGCGTCCATCCTCTCCTCCGGCAGGACGAACTGGAAGAGCAGCCGGTTCAGAAGAAGGTTCCTCAGCCGAATTCCCAAATTGAGGGTTTCCAGCAGCAGCAGCAGGGGCAGGGGCTTTTCCGGAATTCGAGAAATTCTTGCGGAGTAGCGGTGGTTTCTGGAGGCGCCTAGAGCGCAGCTGGAGGTAATCCGTCTTGGGAGGCGGCGAGGCATCGGCGGAGGAGCGGAGGCGCTGCAGGGCTAGGGTTTTGGCACGGGTACGAACGCCCAGGTAGGATTGAGAGGCATCCTTAACGGCGACGTCGCCGGAAGTTTTCGGTTTTCGAATGTATTTGCCCATATTTTCTCAGGTAAAGGTGCTTTCTCAGGTTACTGCAGTCTACAGAGGTGATTTCATGGAAGGGAGAGAGAGAGAGAGAGAGAGACGAAGACTTGCGGGTCGTGACGGGTGGGGGAGGTTTTTTCAAAGTTTAGAGTTGCGTTTGGGTGGATATATATATATCAAAGTTTCCCAGCCTAATTATCCTAAGTCGTATGTGATCGTCCGATGCACGGGATATATTTATTTTAAAAAATATATATATAAATTGAAATCTATCACACAATAAATTATAATGCCTAAGACATTTGTAAAGTAGTTATAAATTTTACCCCGACAATATATGTGTTCTTGTATTTTCGTGTAAGCTCTTTTACGTATAAGTTTGACGGGATATATATGTGTCACATTCGTGTCAAAGCAAAAAATATGGTATAAAAATAACCGCGCGTCGCAACGCGGTAATTACAATTTATATTTTCTTTAACTGACTTTTACCAATTACTAGTAGTAGTGAGCAATGGTCGAACCCACATAGAGTGTGAATCAAATTGTAAATTTTCTTGTATTAATTGAATTTATAAAAAGCGATAAAAGGGGGGATTGGATTAAAACTAAGATCCTAATTAAATAAATAAAATCTAAATAAATAAAATAAAAATAAATATATTAAGAGAAATTTATAGTTCACGATTCTGTCTACACCCTCGACCGACTCGTCTAATCAATTTTGGTATCAAATCTATCTTATGGAATTACTAGCCCTAGGCAACGACACTGTCTGTTACCCGAATTTTCCTTATTTATAATCTAACTGCGAGATGCTCTACGATTAAACCTGAATTCTTGTACAATCCAGAAAGATAGCCGCTTTAGGAATTATAAAATTAAGTTAGACTAAGTAGTGACGCGTTCGTTCACTTAAATAGACCGTGTTATCCCCGGTAGTAACCGTCTTCCGGTAGCCTCTTATGAATTAAACACAACAACAATTACGGATTGAAAGTCTAATTCACAATCTAAATAAGACTCAACACATCATGGTTAATTATTCAAAATAACACGAACAATTCCAAAAAGATGACTCAATAATCAACCACGTAAATCAATCAAACATCGTCAAGTCGTAGGGTTCAACTTCCCCGGAACTAGAAAGAAAAACTACTCTAACATAATAAATAAAAAGAAAAAAATAAATAAAAGATAATAGAGAGAGATTAATTATCTCTCTCGTGTACGGGTGCGGCCTTCCTCCACAATTGACTGAGTTCTCGTATCTGCCTTCTGCTCTGTTCGCGACTCTCCTCTGCTACGTGAATGATGGCGGCTGCTCCAAAAGCGCCTCTCTGTTGCTGTGTATATATCTCTTTTAATTAAGGGTATGTTTGGTTCAAGTAAAGGAAAGGGAGGAGAGATATTTTAATGGAAGGGAGGTGAGGGGAGGGGAGGTGAAGTAAAATAATTTTACCTTGTTTGAAGGGATGTAGGATGTGAAGGAAGAGAAAATGGTAAACTTTGTTTGGTTAGAAAAATGGAAGGGAAGGAAAATATTGTAAAAATGACAGTTATACCCTTAATGATGTAAGAAACAACAAAATAAAATAATTCACATTAATGTCAAAAGAATAATTTACTGTTAAAAATTTTCCTTCCCTCCAAATTCCTCCACTTTCGGAGGGGGGGGTATTTTCCCTTGGAGGAGGGATTTGAAGGGAAAATCCAAACCCTTCCCTCTACAAAAAATTGAACCAAACAAGGGGAAAATAAAAAATTTCCTCCCCTTTCTTCCTCTTCCCTCGGTTTCCCCCGAACCAAACATAGGCTAAGTGAATAATTGATGCCCTTAAATTGGCTTTGTTGGCTGTGCTTGTGCGTGGTCTCGCAATTCCGAAAATAAAAATTGGCTCTGCATATAATATCTTCCCAAGCCTCCTTTAGTTAATTTCTCAAAGCCCGTGTATGTATGAAATGGTAATTATTTCCAAGCTTCTTTAGCCCACCAAATCTTTCAAAGTGGATGTATCCTTCAACCTTCTTTCGAAATCTCGTCGTCCATAAAAACACTCCAATATCCTAAAAATAAATTATAAAAATATCAAAGCACCAGAATTTATTTAAATAAATAAATAAGCCGAAAAATATATAAGTACGATAAAATTAAACATATAAAAATATGCTATTAAATATATAGAATACACACATTTTCCGACCAATCAAAAAACTAAAGTGATAATATTTCTTGATGTGATAAATATCCCAGATTTTGTTTTTCGGATGATACCAAAAAGAAAAAGATTTTCACCACAAAAATTATGATATCGTAAAAGAAAAAAGATCGTTAAAAATCTCTTATTTAGTTAGTGTGATTTGTAGTTGAATAGGAATGAGGTATTATGGCAATCAATGTTTTAAATACCGTACCGGTAGGCATACCGGTCTAGCCACCGATTGCGGTATTACCGGTAGGATCGGTAATACCACCGGTATTACCGGTCTACTAACAAATAATATTATATATCTATATAAGATATCATATTGAAAATAGAAAATATTGAGTGATGCTAAAGAGTGAAAATGTACATTTATTAGTGTCAACCTTAGTGTCTAACCTTAGGTATACTTTCAGTTTCTTTTTTTTTTTTCCAAAAAAATAAAAGAAATATCAGGTTTTGATGCGTGTATGGCAGTTTTTTTTCTTTTCTTTTTTTTTTTTTGCAGACCGATATTTTAGACCGGTATTTGGCGGTATATACGGTATGATACCGGTACAACACGGTATTATCGAGAATCCGATATTTTAAGTGTTTTTGTACCGTACCTATGGCCGGTATCCGGTAATACCGATATTACCGGCCGGTACGATACGGTTTTTAATCACTGACGGCAATATTAAAAAAAATATATTACTATGATTAGTGGATTGTATGTTTGAGTAATGTTCCCCTACTCACGGTGGCCACCTTCTTGTATGTTTATCTCTTCTATTCTCTTAGTTTCATTTAATCACCATATTGATTCCAATATTTGGAATAAATTTGATTGTATCTATTGCATAAGAATATGTAAAAAAAAAGTTCTTACGTTCAAGTAAGAGATTTATTTATATGAATATAAACACTTGTAAATCAAATTTTCATAAAGATTGCATTTCGTATTAAGCTTTTTATTATAGCATTCTCATTGATTTTGTGCTTATTTTTTTTATTATCTTAGTCTCATTTTATGGCCAATTCGATTCCAATTTTTGGAATAAATATAAAATGAAATCTTTAAAATGAATCTGATACGTTTAAACAGAGATTTAGATTGTATCTATTGCATAACAATATTTTAAAAAAAATTATTAAGTTCAAATAAGAAATTTATTGATGAATAGAAACACTTGTAAATCATATTCATAGACATTGCATTTCGTATTTATCTTATTTACTTATAGCATTTTGTAGTCCAAACAATTAAAATGAACAACCTTGTGTAAATCAAATTTTATTAAGAAAAAAAAAAGTTAAAATACTAATAAAATTTGATTTGTGTATATCTAAAAGATGTTTCACCACAAAAATTGTGATACAATAAAAAAAAGGTTCGTTTAAAATTTTGATTTAGTTTGTATGTTTTGTAGTTGAAAATGATAAATATTAATAGAAAACTACTTATTATCAGAGTAAAGTAAAACAAAATATACAAAATTAATTTATTTTTTTATGAATAGAAAGACGTGCAGATCATATTTATTTAAGTAAAAATTATTTTTATTAACAATAAATGTGTAAATCATTTTTTATAAAGATAAAATAAAATACACAAATTTAATGAGATGTTATGTATATGATTCTTGTACCACAAAAACGTGTTACCATAAAATTAATGGTTTACGTTAAAAAAAAAAAAAATTGACAAAATGAAAATCAAGTACAAACCGAATCTCTTTTTTTCATTGCTACTCCTATCTATGCAATTAATTTATTTATTTATTTATTTTTGTATATAGTACGTGTGTGATAATTCTTTTTTTGAAAAGTCGTTAATTATTTTGGCGGAACATTTTGGAGCAACTAGATTCTTGGTTTTTGGAGCAAGTGCACGAAATCCAGAAAGCCCAGACATCATAGGACAATTGTAATTACAATAACCTTTTGTAATGTAATCTGCAGGAAGAAAAAACTCTTAAATCAATGTATAGAAGACAATGTACGACTACTCAATGAAAGTCATGTACATTAGAAACACAAAATTACGGCTACCAAAAAGGTAAACTAAGGCATTTTGACTCTTATAGCTAAAGAGTTATAAATAACATAGTACAAATGAAATATGAATTCCTCCCAAATTTCTTTGGATTGAGAATGATAATAACCCGTAATCACCACACATAGTTAATCGGTCGAGTATTCTATGAAGAATCTATAGAGAAAAAAATCCTCCCCTTCTCCTTACCCTATATTCGACATCGGCCTTACAGGAGCATAGGTCGAGATATTGAGTGGATTGCTTCTATCATCTGATATAAAGTGGGATTTCTCCAAAAAAAAAAAATATGCGAAAGCACATTACGTTTTAACTGCTGAAAGTTACTGTTAGTAGGTTCGAATGTGGAAAATCAGGATAAAGACATAGATAGAACGATCTATTTTATACTTGTTAGCTCGGTTCGGTATTGTCTAACGAGCGTTCGATATCGCTTTATCTCGGTTCGATATCGTATCGCTTTATCTCGGAATTCCTTCCTTTGCTTTGCTTGCATAATTCACCTCAACAAAGCTCGGCCCATTTCTCATTAAACAAAAACACGACACAACATAAACACATTTGATAAAAACACAAAATTAATACTATCTTTTAATCAAAATTAACAAGTTTTACCAATCCTCATGGATGTGTATGCACTATGCCGCCTCTCAACTCTGCTGCCCGAAAATCCAGTGACGTTACATTTCGACCATCTATCACAAATTCGATTTAAGGTTTTGCAAACCAGGGATTGATTGATTGATTGATTTAATGTAGGAGTTTCCAAAGTAGTCGAGGATTGTTGGCAATGGCAGAAGATATCGGAATTGTCTCAAACACCACCACCACCACACATCTTCTAATTCCCGATAAAGGTCAGCAGCAGCCACATAGGAGCAACAACGACGATGCGGATGTGAATGTGATGCTTCTGGTGCGGTATTTACACGGCGCAACCCTCGATTGTTCAGTAATCTCAACCCAAAACAACTCCTTCAAAGTGGTGCTTGAGCTTGATGATGGTAATCTTTCACACTTGTCTCTACTCAAAGAAGATGAATTTGATCCCCGTTGCAGGCCCCCCCGTATTGAAGTTTGTGCTACTTGCAACTCATGGTTGCTGTATCGTTCAATTACGTCTGATATTCCATTTGACTCTCTGTGGAACCCCACAACCGGCGAGAATGCATCTCTTCCCTTTTTTCCTTTTGGTTCCGAACGTTTGTCGGTCCCTTGGGCTTATGGGATCGGGTACGATTCTGCAGGGGACACCTATAAGGTGTTGAGATGTCGTCTGATGCATAATTTAACAAGTGACTATGAGAGTGACTACTATGAGATGGGGGAGCTCTCCGTTGAGCTGTTGTCGTTGTCCGCCGCAAGTGATTCGTCGAGGGAAATTTCCTGTCCTCACGACCCCGTTGGAATTCATCCCCTTCTACAACCTTCTCTTTACATGAATGGCTTTTATTATTGGCCAACTTTTGAGGGTAGCTTTGTTTTCTTCGACTTTGTTAAGGAGGAGTTTGGGCCTCTGATACCCAAGCCCGAGAGCGATGAGCTCAAGACCCACCGCGGCACTGTTTATCCTGTTGAGTATAATGCGTCGCTTGCTGCTGTTGTGTTCGAGGACCGTAACCTGAGGACCGACATTGATCCTACTGCGCCTTTTGTTTTTGAGATTTGGGTGTGGGGAAAAGCCTCCGCCACGTGGTCTCTGGTGTTGAAAAGGGAAATCCGGGCTTCAGATGATGCTTATGTTGTTAAAGTTTTGGGCCTCTACAAGAACCATAAACTCTTTCTTTCTGACTCCTATGGTGACCTACTGGTTTACGACATTGAATCGCGCGGATTGGTGAATCTCGGTATCCGTGACGAGTTTGTGGGTATAATGGAGGTCTTCCCTTTTGTTGCCAACACTGAATCCAGCTTCAAATCCTCCTCAAGGAATCTCTGGTCTGGCGACACAACCACTAGTGTCGCCGATGGTGTTCCTGGTACTATTCGGGCACTTACTCGCAGTTTGAAACCTAACGACAGTCTGATGCTTATGGTGCAGTGTGTAGTCGACTGGACCCGCGTTTTCTTTGTGATCTCAACGGAAAACAACTCGTTCAAAGTTCTACAAGGTGATGATAAACATCTTCCAGATTTGTCTCGACTCAAAGCTGAAAAGTACGATGTCGATTGTGGGAATGCCAAATATCACGTCGAAGCGAGTTGCAACACATGGATGCTGTGGTCATGTAATGTAACTTCGGATCGTTTGCTTCTGTGGGACCCTAGGACAGACGTGTTTGTAAACCTTCCTTCTTTTGAGTCGGAGCCATGCGTGCCTCGCCCAACCAGCATTGCCTTGTGGGGTTTCGGTATTGGGTTTGATCCTTGTGCACCTGGGGACTATAAGGTGGTAAGATGTCGCACGTTGGAGTATTTTCGGTCCGACAGCAAGGCCTACGCGGAGGTGTTTTCGCGTGAAACTTGGAATCAAATCACGTATCCCCATGATCTTGTGTGGAAAGTCTATCAGTACCCGTGGTCGCTTTTCATCAATGGCTTTTATTATTGGATGGCACAGCATTCCACCACAAAGGATGGTGCTATTATTTCGTTCGACTTTGCTAAGGAGGAGTTTCCCCCTGCTCTCATCCCTATGCCCAGTAGCACAATTCTCAGAGACATCACGATTTACTGTGTTTCTCTTGCTGAGTATGAGGGGCATCTTGCTGCTATTGTTTTTGATTATCACGGACAGGACAAGAAAAGAATGAATATTGGTTATCCAACACGACAGCAGAGGAAGAAGAAGAACAAGCAGAACAGTGAGTCTTTTACTTTTGAGATTTGGGAATGGAAGCACCGCTGCTGGTCCTTTGTATCCACTTACGAAGTCACTAGTCGTGTTGTTTTTATGAGGGTCATCGGCCTCTACAAGAATGATAAAGTGTTTCTTCAGGACTTGCATGGTTACCTATGGCTTTACGATCTTCAGACGCTCAAGCTGGAGAACCTCGACATCCGTGACTATAGTTCGACTCTGACGGTCTTCCCTTATGTTTGAGAGCCATCCATCTACATGTTGACGTAAGTGAGGTCTAGTAAACGTGGTTTTGTGGCTAGCAGCACAACACATTAGGAAAGTGTGGTCTCTTGCAATCTTATTCATGTCCTATTTTATTGCAACCCATGCATGGTGTGGAGAACTTGTCTTATATTGTTTCATAATCTCATCTTATTTTCCTGGACTGGAAACTCGCTCGATAGTGTTTGATGGACTCACATTCCGTTCAGTCCGTTTAATACAAGAAGCGGATGTTTATGATGACACATTATTAACTTCACACTAGTAAACAACGCTCATCAACATCCACACAATAGTAGTTGCACATTGTAAACAACATGCCTGACACATTATGAAACATAGCTTTAGTGTGCAGTATCATTTTTCGAGACAGGACGTTTATTTTTCGAGACAGGATGTTTGTTTTTGTTGATAATGACTTGTTAGTTAGCTGATAACAAATCGAGGATCTCTGTGCATATTTATGGGCCTGTGTTTTAGCATTGTGCACTACTACTTGCCATCCAGGAGACAACTTGTTGTCTGTTTGTGCCTAACCATTATTTTTATCATATTTATTGTCAAATATAATAAATGATGACAAGAAAACATAAGGATGAAACACAAACACAAACACAACAATATGATTTTCTTCAAGAAAGAAAAATGTAGGGAAAGCGGAAATAGAAAACTCAGCACATATTTTTAATAACTCATAAATAAAATATGAAGTATACTCGTTAAACATAAATGAAGACTCCATACTATTGATAAAACAGATTGGTAACTAACTAAAGCACTAGCAAAGCAAACTATAGTCGTCAATTCTGAACGGTCTCAACATAATTACATAAATAATATTCAGTTTTGCAACATGTCCCTACAAATACATGTAAGCTCATCGTTCATCGCATTGTAAGCACGTGTAGTTGCTACGTACAAACTCATCATCTCACAAAGGGGCGATATGCCCGCCGCTGGATCAGAAATCAATCGTGTTATATAACAATTTTTACCAATCCTCATGGATGTATGCCTCTCAACTCTGCCACCTTGCCCGAATGCACTCTTAGACACAAAGACTCATTTCAGTTACTTTTTTTATTTTTTTTTCATAAAACAGTAGAATTGACAACTCAGACCCAGCCACGTCATCTAATTTATTTCCACAGCTTGACCGAGCTATCATGGCTGGCTGAAGCGACCATCCCAGTCACAGGTGACTGTGCCAAGGCCGCAACTATGTTCTCG